CTCACTGTCAGTGTCCTTTTTCTTGGTTACTGCATATGTGCAGGTCGTCTTACCCGTACTGCAGGTGAAGCAGGATCCTTGTTGTGGGGGGGAACGGATAGCGCATGGAACAATGTCTCGATCTTGGCGTTTGCTGCAGGCCTCACAGGGGATATCCGCAAGCTGATAATTGCCTTTCGCAATCGCGGCATTCTGATTTGCAAGACGTTCGGCAGTTTTGGCTTGCCTTAAAGCGGCCATGGCGGTCTTGGGAGGACTGGCGTTGGGGTCTAACTTGGGCCTTCGGATGAGACTGAAGCCGGCACTGGGTGTCATGCGGGAGAAATGGGGCTGGGACTTGGGTTTAACCGCCTTTGCTTCCCCACCAACCGGTCGAAGTGACTCCAACTTCGGCTTCAATGTTTCCTCATCACTGCTGCTGTTGATGAACTCCGCGCTCACGACTCTGGTCTTCTTTGGCCTGGCTTCGATCGAGTCCCCTTTTCTTTTTTTGCTTTGGACTGGGGCAGCGGTGTCGTTAGGAGTCACCTCTGATTGTGGCTGGGCGCTGGACCCGGCCTCGGGTTTCCTTCGCCCAGACTTTGTCTTACTCTTGGACTTCGTTTCAGCCGCTGGCACAGGATCGGTTGATTTTGCCCGACGCGTTGGTTTTGTTGGGGCCAGGAGCGATGATGAAGCTGTCGGTACCGGCAATGGGGGAGTTGGGACTGTGACTGGGAGCAATGAATCGGTCGAAGATGGAGGTAAAGGGGGAGAGGGACCGGCATAACCTTCCATAAAGAAGGTAGGGGTGGTGGGTTGTGGGATCGAGAACATTTTGGTCCAATCAACCGATGGTCCCGCTCGGGCCATTTCCGTGTACGCCAAAATCCAAGGGTGGTTGAGCCACTGGGCCGCGTTATACCACATATTCTTGTCGATGAGCAAACGTACAAATCGTTCCTGTAGGAGAAAGAGATCCAATTTCAGTCAACAAATCATTGTTAGTCACTCACAGCTTTCCCGTATGCATCCTCTTCCACCGTCCGTTGGTGGGCCAGAAGACCTTCCCTGTGACGGTTGTAAAAGTTCAAAAGCGTGGAGGTGGCCACCCTAACATCCTCCAAGAACCTGGGAGTGAGGGTATGGGCCTGTTGAGCGGCTTGAGCAAGTTCAGCAGTGGACATGGTAAGTGGGAATGGGACGATCGAGGGTGGTGAATGTGCGCGTCGGAATGGGACAATGGTGAATATGAAATTACAAAGTTGTAAATGCGGTCACGTGGTGGCGTTACTTCAACCGAGATCCATACAATGTTCAACCGAGATCCGCAGAATGTTCCATGGCCGATCTGCAGTGGCTTGCTTTCCCACTGTTGAAAAACAATGTGTCTTCATCACCAACCACACAGTGCAATCCCAGGAAAAGCTATCTACTCTCTGACTGATATGTCTTTAACAAATCCAGGTATTGTCCCTACTCCACACCAAGGATTGTCTACTTAATGTAGATAAACAGAAGCTGTGATGAAAGACCAAGAAATGAAGGATGGTAAGTTTTATGTACTCTTGTCGGCTGAGCAGTTCTAACCATATCTTAGGAACGGCCGAGGCTCTACCCCCTCTTCAACCAAGTGGTGAGTTCCAGTCGGTGACAGAAAACTAGCCAAACCTAAACATTCTGGGTGGCCGATAGGACAGAGCCAAGAATCCGAACTAGTGATGGAAGTGGACGTCCCATCCTCGGCTCCTCACAGATCCATTTTCGATTTCAAAGAACCTACCCCTGCTCTAAGTTCCAACCCATTCACCCCAGCCTCGGCTCACCAATCCATTTTCGAGTTTAAGAAAGTCGGTACTTCAGCTTTTGCCCCGACCTTGGCTCATCAAGCATCAATGTTCCATTTTCAGCACGTGGGCACTTCAACGAATGTGCCACCTGTTTCCCCGTCCTCGGCTCATCAGCCATCGATTTTTGATTTCCAGAAGCCTGGCAGATCTCCACCAGCCTTGGCTCGTCAGGCATCGATTTTTGATTTTCAGCAAGTGGACACTTCAACGAATGTGCCGCCTGTTCCCCCGTCCTCGGCTCGTCAGCCATCCATTTTCGATTTCCAAAAGCCTGACATCCCTGCACCAGCCTCGGCTCGTCAGGCATCGATTTTTGATTTTCAGCAAGTGGACACTTCAACGAATGTGCTGCCTGTTCCCCCGTCCTCGGCTCGTCAGCCATCCATTTTCGATTTCCAAAAGCCTAACAACCCTGCACCAGCCTCGGCTAATAAAGGATCCCCTTTCGATTTTCAAGTCCATTGTTCATTTACCCCGGCCTCAGCTGTTCAGCCTTCCATTGATTTTCAAACACCTGGCACGTCTGCTCCAGCTCCTGCCTCTGACAAACCAGGCATGTCTTCCCCTGGCGCCTCAAGGTCCAATAGTACTCTGGGATCACGGAAGTATCTGACGAAATCACAAGAGGCCAAATTACGACTCCAGGGCCAAGGAGGAGCTGCCATTCTGCCAACTTGGCCAGGCGATGCCTTCGTTTTCGGCCCGGCTCCTGTCTTCGTCTACACTCAAGAGAGGACAACACCACGCCCACCACCTTCGACCGAATTGTTGGACTTGGATCCAAACTCCCCACGTGCAAGGGGTTTATGTCGCAAGTACAATATCAAGGTTGTGTCTAGTGTTTAAAGGTTCAGTTCAGTCCGGTTTTTTGCCCCGAAAACGCGCAACCGTGGACCGCAACCGGTCCAGGACCGACCCAGATATTGAGGGAACCGAACCGAACCACCTAGGACCGGTCTTTTGCGGTCCATGATACCAGTTCAGACCGATCCAGACCGGTTTTTTTGCGTATAATTTATTATACCAATATAAACCATTTGTATCTCAACCATTATTACTCTGAAAAATAAACGGGTTATATAAAATAGTAAAGCATATAAATACCCGTCATTCTACCAATTTTCAAGAGATTTAATGAAAATTTGACATAGCTATGACTGAAACCGAATTACATCTCATAGAGACTCGGGTAAAATATGGATTTGGTTATATCTTTCTCAATTCTTAACCGTTTTTGATGAAACAAAAACCCAATAAAAGGCAATAAACGTGGTTACAAGGCTATGTAACGCACGTGACCGTTTAACCGGTTGCAACCGATTAAAACAGGTCTTTGAACGGTTTTAAAAGATTTTCGAAATGAGGCAACCGGCAACCGGACCAACCCCAAATTGGGGCAACTGCAACCGAAAAAAAGACCGGACCATGGTCCGGTTCAGTTCGGTCCACCGGTTTTTTGCGGTCCTATGGACTGAACCTTTAAACACTAGTTGTGTCTGATGACAGCATTGGTGATCGCATGGGCGTGGTAGCCGAGGTCGTTCAGGCAATTGGCAAAGTGTGGGAAAGAGCTATGGACCCCAAGGCTTCATCCGACCCTTCGATTAGGAATTTGCAGGCTGCCTTTGATAAATTGTTGACGAGGGGAGATGAGTTTACCGAGATGGATCGTATGGACCTGGTTCGTCATAGCGAAATTCACCAGGAGGCGCTCAGATCCCTGCCTGACAGTATAGTGACAACGAGCCATTATCGGTATGTTTTGGCCACCTTGAGGAGGGAGAAAGACCGGTTGCGTGAACAAATCGATTCAGACCGTGATCTGGTTGCAGCAATGGACGCTACTTTAGAAGGACTACGGCCATTCATCCCAGACGAGATCCCAGACAAGGGGAAGGGGAGGGACAAAAGGGATGGACCAGGGTTTAAGTAGAAGATTAGATCACAAGACCGAGGTTGGTTCGCTATGTAGTTTGCACCCGGGCACGGTTGAAGATACCCGCTGCCGGATAGTGCTCACATTTAATTGGTCGTAAGACAAGCCTCCCGGCTCAATTAGTCAAACGAACACCTTTTCAACCCTTGCCTTTCATGATAGGAAAACATGATGAACTACGAAGTGACACTGCTGAAACCGGACACAGATTAACATCATTGAACATGCTATGTATTTCGCACCCGGGCATGAATGACTAACATCATTAAACATGATAGGTTTAACTGACGAATGAAACTTTCTTGGACCGGGTGGAACGAACACTTTCTTCAGCAATCTTTTTCGACCGTTCTCGGGTTACTATACCGAGTTCCCCTGTAGAAACCTTGCCTTTCATGATAGGACGAGGTTTTGGTTTTGGCTTGGTGGGGACATCAATAGATGGTTGCTGACTGGGACCGGCCTCTGACTCCTTTTGTTTTGAAGGGACTGGTCGTTTTGCGTTGACACCACTTGACTTAGTGAAATCAAAGCTATTCGAAGCTTTGGTTGTGTCCGACCTCAGATTGGTTGCTTGAGCTGGTTTGACAGTGGCTTGGATAACAGCCGAGGCAGCTCGGCATTTGACTTTGCCTGGTCGGGCACTCCTTGGGCCAAGTTTGTAACCCTTCTCTAACCGAGGAAACTTGCAGGGTGTATCCTCCTCATCAGTGAATTTTCTCTTCTTCGCTTGATCGGCCAACTCCACCCCACAGCCCAGGTCAGCTTCCCAAAATGTATCATCAGCCAAGACCTCAGTGTCCGATGGTACTTCATGGGAGTGAGCCCGGGTGTCGTTGTACCGAGGCTGAAGCTCAGGGCTGGTATCTACAGTGATCGTAGCATCGTCTGAGCCCAAATCTGATCCCGAGTCTCTATCCTCTTCCAAGGTCGGGTTGACCCTGCTAGGTTTCACTGTGGGCTCGGTCAGAGTATCCTGCTTTGGCCTCTCTTGACCATTATCGGAGTCTGAGTCACTATCATCGGAGCCATCCTCACGATGTTCGTCATGCTGTTTGGTTGGTTTCTTGGTTGGTTTCTCCATGTCCAAGTCTTCTCCATCGTCATCGGAGCCATCCCGATCAGGAGTCCAGTCATCCTTAGAAAACTGTTCAGTTCGTTTCTTGGCCGGCTTGTCCACATCCAAATCCTTCCAACTGTTGTCATCGAACTGCCGATCTTCCACCCCTTCCTTTCTCTTTGGCCTGGCTTCCTCATCTGATGGTGACTCGGTTGCTGCCCGGCCTCTCCTTTGACCCTTGCTTCTGCCGGGCTTCTTGCCCTTCCCAACACTATGAACATGAGGTTTAGGAACGTGAACTTTGATTTTCCTTCGTGGAGGTGCTTCCAGCAGCATTTTCCCCTCAAGAAAGGATTTAAATCGAAAGGCGACTTTGTGTTGTTCTTGACGTTCATACCAAAACTGGAGAGCTTCAGTGACCATCTCCATCGGGAATTTGGAGGGATCAAGAAACTTGTAAAAGTTGTTACCTTCTCCATTTACTGATCTCCAAGCCGGGGGTATATATTCTAGATCAATGAAGTCAAGTAACTTTGATCCAATAGCCGTCCA